CGGTTTTTTTTTCTTCTCTTCTATATATGTCTCGTCTTGCTCGCTTACATGTCAAGTCAACGCAAGCTCTATTCAATCAAACCAGCCAAAAGGCAAGTTTTTTCTTTTTCTTTTTTCCCTACATTGATGATGACGATGATGATGATGATCATGATAATCATCATGATGTTGATGAGTAGATAATCATGATGAAATGAATGCATCTATGCGTAAATTCGTTAAAAAATGATTTCAAAAACATATAAGATTTGTAAACAACATTTAACATTAAAAGTCATTGTCTTATAATAAAAAGAAAAAAATTAATAATCAAAAAAGAAAAATGAATAAATAAATAAATAAAATATATATATATATACAAATGACGATATGAAACATAGAATATTACATAAAATGACCATTTGTTATATGTCATCATAATGGTATGACAGGTGAAAAAGTTAAAAATCGACCTATCAATCATATATATAAAATGTTGAATATATGCACGTTAGAGTGATTAAGGAAAAGCAAAAATCAAAATATATGACTCTTAATGTATTTTAAAAGACATATGAAACTAACTAAAGGACATAACTTCAAGTTTATTTTGATATATAGATTTTAATCTCTGAATATTTATATTTCATATATATATATCAATTATAATATTTAGAAGAAAAATAGTTTATAATACTAAAGTTAAAATTTTAATCTATAACTAAATTATAGATGATGAAAAGATTTTATTTGACATATTTATTCAATTGAAATTAAAAATAAAAAGAAAACTATAAATCATATCAATCATTTTATATTCTGTCTATTTAAAAACTCTACATTTTTAACTTCTTAATAAATAATGTCTATCAAATCAACTTATCATTATCTCGTTGATATTCTTTGAATTGTTTATTACTTTCAATAATATATTGTCCATAAGAAATCGGTTCATATTTAACTTTTTCATCTATTGTTGAAAGTATAACAATTAGTGTTGAATAACATGCTTTCAAAAAGAATGATATCAAAATACATTCTTCTTTTAACAATAAAACTCAATGATTTACTTCTTTCAAATGTTCATTCTATCATCAAGTAAATAATCAAAATATGAAGTATCCAAAGTTAAATGTACGTGCAATTGCACGTATTAATTCAAGTCCAATACATTCTTGATTTTTAAAAATACAAAAATTAAATTTTCCATAGTTTATTCTATTTCATTCTAACTTAAACATTTCATTCCAATATTCAGTTAAAATTCCTTTCATTGATCATAAATTAAGTTCATATTCAGGATTAAGATATGATGATGCTAAATCTAATCCTTCTTTGTCATTAATTGATGATGAAGAGTATTCACGATATATATATATTATTATTTGCTGAATTCAATTTATGTGCAGTATATTGATGTTTTTGTTCAGAAGTTTGATTAAAAAAAAAAGAACCAACTTCTACTATTAATGAATCCGAAAAGCTCAGGTTTAATATCATGACCAACAATTTGAAAACATCCAACTGTTTCACAAACAGATCGAATTGTACGTGATATATCAATAACCGGAAGCTTATTCATATTATAGATTGTTTTTAAAATGTACAACAATGATGAAAAATAACTACCTGTCTTTTTAAACAAAACATTTATTTATTATAGGTGTATTCAATCCAAAGCTACAAATTTAACGTGTGATACAAAAGTAATAGTACAAAGATCAATCTCGACTTCTTTTCAATAAGTGGATACTAAAAGAAAACTTTTTTTTCTATCTCTTTCGAATTGTATATAACTTATTTTCATCATATGTCTGTAAATGACACGATAGAAAAGAGAAGCATTCTCTAAATGAGTTCGCATTTTTCTCATAATTCTGAATAACAGGACAAAATATCGACGTCCAGAAATGAGATCGATCTGACCTGTTCAGACTGGTATAACTAGTAAATACCGATCTACTGACAACTGATAGATTTATACATTGAAACTTTATTTTGTAGTGGACTTACATAAAATAATTAACGTATATCATAAGTCTTGAGAATTTGAATGATTCTTTGAAAATATTTAATATACGACTTTCCATGAAAAAAAACCAACAGTACAATAGAATATTAACGAATCAGGTGCCGTGACTCTGTTCATTATTTCTTTTCATATGATTTGATCTTGATCGAAAACATATTGCTCTAAGAATATCATTGTTTTTTTTCTAATTCAATGATCAACCGATTTCTCTATAATAACTTTTCAATTTAAAATTCATGACATAAATTAAAGATGGAACCGATTATGATGTTTTGACGATATGTATCAATAAAGACCGGTTGAAAACCAGTACCGGTACCGATTTCATCTCTGTCGATGCTTATTTCTCTTTAGTAAACGCCTGTTGGAATCATTATATTTTTTTCTATCAAGTAATAGGAAACTTTTCCTTCTTTCGAATTGTATATGACTTGATTTTGTTATACACAAAATAGCATGGTAAGAAAGAAAAACATTCGTCCAACGAATCTATAATTTTTCTATTGATTCATCAAATAAATCTTGAAAATTAATTGAAATATAATGACACGACAGTGCTGTTTTTCTTAAATTCTTACTTTTTAAGGGAAGAAAAAGTTCAATCTCTCTAAAAAGACACTCTAATTATAAAAGTACTCTTTTATATAATTGTAACAATGTTTAGTTCAAAAAAAAAAAGGAACTCCGCTGTACCCTCCTGCATCTTGGCATGCTCTTTCGAGCAACAAAACAAAGCAATAGGCTACAATGAAACTTCTTCCACAATTCTGCGATACACGATCAGAAAAGCATAAATAAAGAACAAAAAAAAAAGATTTCCTGCTTTTTCTGAAAAGCAGCGCATATTATTCAAGCTGATGATGACAGAAATCATCAAACATTTTGGCAAAAGACGAGGTGTCAAATTAAAATCATGTCATTGATGAAAGATTAGACGTCAGACTATCTTTTCCATACATTTATCTTAATTTCGATAATTTTGACGAAAATTAGCGTTCTTTGAAGAGAAGATATTTTAAAACGATTGTTTCATCAGCTGTATTCAAATTTCCGAAAAAGGAAATTTCGGAGATTTCAAGTATTTGTGTTCTGAATTGTGCATTACTTCCTAAAATTATGTCATTTTCGAAATTTTCAATATGCCTAAAAACTTTTAATTTGCACTGCTATATAATTATCGAACTGATGGAACTTTGAGTAATTTCCTTGTTTGGAAATCTGATTATACCTCAAAATAGTACACTTTCTACACTGTTGATGAACTTGGTCTTTACGAATCAAAACCCACTACTCTTCTGTTTCAAATAGACAAACAGATTTAGATTAATAGTGGAGTTATCTGAGTCTAATAAGTGGTCATGACTTGGGAGTAGCGGCGGCGCCAGGAATTTAGACTAGGGTGGGCTCAGGCCTACTAAATTTTAAACAGGATGGGCTCAGCATTATTGAATCTTTACACACTAAAAATGGTAGTCTAAGCTGTTTTCAACTCTTAGGTTCATCAAAGAATTTTCTTTTCTATGTTAAATAAACAATATACATGTATATATATAGAGAGAGAGAGCTTGATTATTTATTTTCAAAAGTTTTAGATAATCCTAACATAATAAAATTCTGCTGTTCTTATGATTTCGTGCGAATTTATCTACTATTTGTTCATAATCTATAAAAATGTCACGCTCAATAGCCAAGACTGTTAAGTCACTTAAGCGAGCATCAGACATAGAATTACGAAGATAGTTCTTTATTATTTTCATCTTTGAGAATGAGCGTTCGCATATCACTTGTGAAACCGGCATTGTCATAGCATTTTTGACCATTAGTATTGTTTGTGGAAATGCAGTAGAATATGGAATTAATTCTTTTAAGAATTGATGTTGCCCATTACAAAACATAACTAATAGAAAATAAGAAAAGATCTTAATGGTGAACTAGCCGTAGTATGTTGCGACATCGGCCAGATAAAATATTGTTTTTTCTAAGATCTGATAAAAATTTCAGGGTGGGCTCAAACAATTCCAGGGTGGGCTCAGCCCACCCCAGCCCACCCTTGGCGCCGCCACTACTTGGGAGACACTGCTTTTTAATTTTTGATTAGAAAGTTTTATTGGATGATCATTTCTTGATAAAAATTGGGTATGCCCAGATGTCAAATATTTATTCAATATATTATAAATTATTCTTCTTGAAATGCCTTGTTGTATAAAATAATTAATTGTCGTTTTCGAAGATCTCTATTTGGATGCATCAATATTCTGTAGATTCATTGAACGAGTATTTCTTTTAGTAACCTTCTATGAAAGAGAAATCGAGACCAACATTTGTCCTATTTCTTTTACATCACAAATTATTTTCTGTTTATTGTTAGTAGTTGTATAATCGATATTTCTATTCAATAAAAAAAAAAAAAAAGCTTTTTTAACTTTGAAAAGAACATTCCGTATATATTCTTAATATATTTATTATCGCATACATCGTTTTATCATTAAATTCAAAGAAAAAAAAGAAAAGTTACGGCGTGAAATGAACAGTTTTCTATTTCGAGATTCTCACACCAGATACACACGTACAAAATTCTTAGTTGACAATTGTATATAAAAAAAATAAAGAAAGATATTGAAGAAAAGAAGAAAAAAAAGAAGACCGAAGAAAAGAAAAAAGTAAATTATTAGTTTTTTGATTTAGAAAAAAAAAAATAATGAATAATTTAAGGAAATTTTTAGGATATAAAGAGAACGGCGGCGGATTACACATAGAGTAAACTCAACATATACAAATCAAAAATTGAGTATATTGAGAAAAGAAAGGAATGCAGGACACATTGGACCAGCACACACACACACACACACACACATATCGAGATTGAAGATAAGAAATGAATTATATTTTAAATAAATATATCGAACATAATAACGAATGAAAAAAAAAAAGAAAATAAATGAATTATTTCTTACTGACCAGCAGTTAATATTATCGAAAAAAAAAATTCTTATCTTGAATAAAGTGAAACTCTACGTTCAAGTAATGTTTTTATATCACCACGTTTAACAAATGGACTTATTGATACATCAGGATAAAATACAAAATTCCAAATAAATATTGGATCACGTGGATCAATATCACGACTATCAAATTGTAATGATGTACAATTTCGTTCTTGAATATTTAAATTCATTATTGTTGATTGATTATTATTTGTATCAATATGTGTTGTTGAACCATATAAACTAAGAATTTTATCACCAATAAAAAGATTTAATGATGAATTTGTTGTTTGACGTTTTTCATTTATATTTATACGATGATGATTATGATTATGATTATATTTATTTTTATTTTTATTTTTATGTTTATGTTCATTATCAGGTGAATCAAATGGAAATAAAATTGATGGTGAAATAGCTGAAAGTATTGATGGTGATAATGAACCAGTTGATCGTATTGATGATGAATCACTTGATGATAATACACCTGATTGTGAATGATAATCACTTGTTGAAGATATATTTTCAATATTTGAATTTTTATTATTTAATAAATGTGTTTGTTGAGAAGAACTTGATGGAGAAAATGATATTGTAAATGATGATGCATCAGGATTAAGTGTTGATGTAGAATATTTATTATTTGTATCTGTTGTTGTTGCTGTTGTTGTTGTTGTTGTTGTTGTTGTTGCAACTGATAATAATGGAATATCATCTCGATTTGAATTATTATTTGTTGAATGACGAGAATTTGTATTTATTGTTATTGGTGTTGTTAATTTTGTATCAGTCTTTTAATATTAAATAAATATTTTATTTTATTAAACATATAATAATAATAATAAGAATTAAACTTACTTGATGTGATATTGTTGATCTTCCAGCATGATATGGATGAGGTCGAAATGGTGCTGATGAACTAGTATTATTTGTTCGTGGTGATAATGGACTAATAAGAATTTCATTTTGTGCATATTCAACAATCATTGGATAACCATTTAATTGTATACCATTACAAGCAACAAGTGCACGTTGTGCTTCTTCACCAGTAGCAAATCGTACGAAACCATAACGTTCACGTACTTTAACACATTCAATAACTTGTCCATATGAATGAAATATAGATTGTAAATGTGCACCTGTTGTATGTGTTGCTAAATTACCAACAAATAATTTACATGTTGCTATTTGAGAATTTGTTGGTGTTGAAGCATTAATATTTAATTTTTTTGTCGGATTAAATACATTTTGGTTAGTTGATGTAAACATTTTTGTTTATTGTAATCCAAGGAGAGAGAGAGACAGAGAGAGAGAGAGCGTGAGATTATTAGATGGTAGAGATGTGTTATATGTGTGCGGCCAAAAGATGGAAATGAAAGTGGACAAACAAAGAGGACTAATGTGAATATAGTCAAAGAAGAAAAGTGAAGCTGTTGTTACAGTGCGTGTTATGTTGTTATTCTTTTCGTTTTTTTTCTTCTTTTCTTGATAGTTTTAGTCTTGTTTGAATATATATTTTAATATATCGACGACGAATATTCAGAGAAATTATATAACACTGAAAGACAAAACAAAAAAAAAGTCAACAAGAAATAGAAAGTAAAATTATTAAAAATAAAATATAAAAAAAAGAAAAAAGAAATAAACAATTGTTTTATTTCAATTTAATACAATAGAGAAAATTGGTTGTTCACACAGAATTGTTATACATGCTCACACCTATTTTAAACCATTTGCTATGCGAATATTAGAATATTTTATAGTTGATGAATAATCTGTTAGATAGATGTATTTTTCCATTTACAAGCTCGTTTTCTTCTATACATATATAATGATTATTCATTAAAAAAAAACAAAAATGAATATGAAATTATTTAAGAAAACATATTTATGGATCATGATTAATAATTCAGATGACAATCATCATTTTGTATAAGTTCAGTAAATCTTCAATTTATAAGTTATATTCAAATATTTACCAAGACTCAATCGTCCAATGTATTAAGAATAAGAATATTGTCGTTTTAAGTCGATATGAAACGTAGAAAAAAAAACAAATAGCAGTACTCAATCGAGTTTAGACAATGAAATTATATATTTCATTGGTTCATTATCATAGGCAATGAAGCTACGAGGTCTGGACAGACAAAAGCCTATCCTAGATTCACGCTTCGTAGGCTAGGGTAAGTTAAAATATGTTTTGTGCAACACACAAATATTTTTCATGATCTCCGACGGCTAATAATAACATTTTCTTAATCAAACAAACTTAGAAAACGTAATTTTTTCTGATCTACATTATTATTACACATTACAAAATTTGGGTTCGATAAAAGAGACACTTATTGTAATTCATCTAAATAGCATTCAAAAACTCGTCTTCTTTAATTTTCAACCGTTAGATGAGGATCTTATAAGAAATGTTGATCATAGACATCAAATCTGAGAACAAAACCAAAATATTACTATTATTATAGTCAGTATTTTATCCAGATTTTCCCTTCTGGAAGGGCTAACCGGATCTTTGGAGGTGTGTCGCTTCCTTGGTTCACACGCTGGACAAAACACTGATCATAATACTATTTTATGATTACGAATTATTGATCTGATCTTCTTGAGTAGTAATAGCCGCAAAGATGTCAGGACTGAGAAGTGGAAGGAGAAATGACTTAGAAGGTCGATCCGAAGATTTTTGCTAAAGTTGACCAGATTTATGAAGAGGAGAGTTACACATTTTTTCCCTCCATCCTTCCGCTTGGGACACCCTTAAATAGCAGAAAGTGTTATCAATTGAAATTTTTCGAATAATTTATTCTGAAATAGAAAATGATTTAGTTTTTCCATCATGAAAATTCCATCGATGAAAACAATGTGCTTGTTTTTGTTTTTTTTTTCGTTCTATTGTATTCATAAAATAAAAAATGATGAGCAAGATCTCTCGTTTTTTTTTTTCATATGGATGAAGATTCAAGTTCCAATTATGAAATAGCGCAAGAACAAACAAAAACAGAACTATAGAGCAAGAACCAAAGAAAAAAAAAAAGAAAAGAGAAATCATATATCATACAAAACACAAGAAAATAAAATAAAACGTGAAAAAAAAAATCAAAGTAAAATTTTCGTTTTCCTGAATTGTTTCGTCTAGTTTTACTCTTATATATATGTAAATGTATAAATCTACGTTATAAATGCTTAGATAGAATTTAAACAAGTCAATGTTCTTGTTGTTTAGCAAGATAAATTACAGGATCAAAAGATGTTGATGTTGGATAAATTTGAGTATTTGATGGTGTAAAATGATATTGTAGATGATCAATATTAAATTGTTGAAAATTACTAGCGAACATAGCTAATTTTTGATCAAATAATGTTGCAACTAAACGTGATATTGGATCATTGGAATTTGATCCTGATGATGATGGTTGTGACAGATATGGTGGAGGTGTTTCTGGTTGATCTTTTGTAATAATAGAAGATTGTAAAGGAATTGTAGTTAAAATTGTTGATGAAGGTGGTGAAGATGATGTTGAAGCAGTGGCTGCTGATGGTCGAGCAGATACATTTAATGATTGATTTGTTTTAGTTCTTTTTCGTGGTTGATACTAAATATCAAACAAGAATTATTTATAATTTTCGTCTTAATTCATTTATATAAAAGATTGATATTAGATCTCAGAAGAAAAATTTTCCAACTGATAAATCGTTTTCGAGTCAGGAATATGTTATAAATGTGTTATGAGTATCTTAAAAAAGCGTTCGTCTCTTAGCTTATTACAGCCAAGATACTGCACTTGTACGATATTGAATGTCGTGGCCCCCTCTTAGGAAAATTTTGCATAGAGACAAAGCTTAACGAGAATGATTTTTGTGAATGTTTCATGAAATATTCACAATAAACTACTTTTGTTAAGGTCTGTCTCTATGCAACTTTTTCTAAGGAGACTACGGCATTCAATATCGTACAAGTGTAATATCTTGGTTGCAATAAGCTAACAGCACAAACTCTTTTCATGATATTCATAGCTTATAATGCACAGAGTCTCGACTCAAACACAATCTATCAGTTGGAGAATTTTCCTCATGAGTTAACTTATAGTTTTTAGTTCATTTCATAGAAAGTTTTAATTCTTTCTTTCTTTCTTTTGCTGTTAGGATATTATGTACTGTTGTAAAGCATTTAAGCTTGTAAGAATTGATGTTTGATCTCAAGAACTTATGAAAAACTACTGATTAAGTTAGATGAATTTTTGTTTTATCAGATAAGATTTCAATATTAACAATAGATTTTACTTTATAAGTTGGATATTGTCGTGCATGAAGTTGTTTTAATCGTTCTGATTCTTCCATATATGGTTGTCGTTCACGTAATGACATTCGTTTCCATTTAGCTCCACAACATCTAAAAATTAAATAAATAAACATTAAAAAAAAAAAGAGACCATCAAAATCTTACTTGCTTATATCAGCATTAGGTAAATGTGGTGCAAGTTGAACAATTTTTCGACGTTCAATTTGTGAAAAAACCATAAATGCATTCATTGGACGTTTAACATGACCAGGACGTGCACGTTTTTTTGGTTGTGTACGTGTTGCATCAGAATATGGTGTTGGTGTTAATGGATCAATAAGTGTTGAACCAAAACAAATTGGTGATGTATCATTATTTGTATTTGATGATAATAATTCAAGTAACATATGATAATCATCTGGTCTTAATGTTCGACAATTAATTTGTGGCCATTGTAAACGTGTAGATGAATTTATTGTTAAATCTGGTGATGGAAGTAATGGTGATGAATTTGTTGATAAACCATAACTATGATCATGTTGTAATGGTGAAAATGATGTTGGTGTTGATGGTGGTGATGTTGATAAATTATGATGAAAATCAACAAATGATGTTGATGGTGATGTTGGTATCATTGTTGTTTCATTAAGAATTGTTTCATCTTTTGAAAATAAATCAAGATGATGATCAGATAATAAATTTGTTGAATCAATTATTGATGGTAATACTAATAAAAAATAAAACCTAATGATGAACATACATATATATATATAGAGAGAAAATAAAATACTTGTTTCAGTTGATTGTTCAGTTCTAACTTTAGTAAATAGTCGATTTGTTGAAACAATTCTTAATGATCTTATATTATTATTATTATTATTATTATTATTATTATGAAGATCAATTGATGTCGATAACATGTTTTAACTTCTTCTATTTACTAAAACAAATCTGTACGTTACGGTTTATAATAAATATTCTTCTCTCTATATAACGTCGAATGTCGAAAATAAAGACGAAGAAAAATAAAAGAAAGATATCGAATTTAACGTGTCATTTTGTTTGCCTAGCATTTGTATACAAATCAGATAGACTAGCAATAATAACATGCACGTGGTTCAAATTTTTTTCGCATTATTTTAGAATATATTGAAAATTTCTTTTGAAAATTATTATTAATTTAAATATTAGAAGAAAAAATTTTGAAAAAGAAAATATTACTTATACAATTGATTATTATTAAGATTTAACAAAATACTTGATATATATGATCAATTAATTGAAATTTTCTGTATCTATTGAAGATTATCTCTAGAGATTACTGATTTTTGTTTTTCATTTTCTATAAGAGTACCCTTATGAAATGTTTTTTATTTGAATGATATAAGTGTCTTGTAGGAGATTTGTTTTTTTTTTCTTTAATCAATAAATTATTTATTATTATTTGATCAATCGTATAAGTTATGGTGAGAATGTTTTGGTACAAAATATTTGGTCATTTTTTGGATTACTTAAAGATAACTGGTTAGAGTCAGAAGTAATTAGTTAGAAAATAGAATTTTTCGTTCTTTCTGAAAATGTATTCAGAATTTCTTTCAAGGTTAAGATTGAACAATGGAGTTCTGCATTGAACTTTGAAAATCCTATTTCATTCTTTGCTTATGTACCATTTGTTGTTAACAATTGTAAAACTGTCAATTCAATGGCTAAATAACACGAAATAGAAAAAAAAACAAAAGAAAACATTTACACTATATTAACTTTCATAAATGATTAAACCCCCCCTCATATTAGAAGCCCCCCTGGGCTTCTAAAGTATCCAGCATAAAAATTTTTTGGAGGGGGCTTCTATTATGTCCTATGATTTTTCGAAGGTTTTAGGTACTAAAGTTTTTCAAATGCTTTAATAGGATTTTCAGGGTTTTTTACAGATTTTTGAGGGTTTTGAAGAAGTTTTTGAGATTTTAATACGGTTAACTAAGAATTTAACACATTTTTACCTTAAAATTTTGTAATTTTTTAAGTTTTGCTGTGAAAATACTAAAAAATGTTTTCAAAAAACTCTCAAAAAGTTTTTAAAATAAGGGGGCTTCTAATATGTCTGGCATATCGAATCCTCCAGAGGGGGCTTCTAATACGGGGGGGCTTCTGATATGGGATGGGCTTCTATTATGGGAGGGGGTTTATTGCAAAACAAAAAGATCAATACCATTCCATATCTTCACTTTTATTATTAAACCTATTTTTCATCATCTTCATGCGATCTTGAATTATATAAAATCGTCATAAACATAAGTTGTCTCTAATTTACAGTAAAAAAATTAATTTGACTCCGCAGGGCTCTATTGGACAACTATCATCAGATTGTTTCAAAAGATCTAAAATAATGGTTGTACAGAATATCATTTTGGTCAGTTTTATATTTCGATTGAAATCAAACAAATACAAAACAGATTTTAATGACGCAATTTTTTTTATCAACGTCGATTTCCATGGAAACTAGCTCTTATTGTAGGATTTCATTTTGTATAGAATTCAATACTTTACAATATAATGTTAACTTTTTAACAAACTTTACTGATAGTTGTTCAATCTTACGGCAGTAGAAAAATCTGAGCATACATATTCGGAAATAGCAAAAAAATTCTGATTCTAACCAACTATTTCTACCTCTAACCAGTTTTCTTTTAGTGACCGAAAACTTTTTTTACTAAGACTTTTGCGTTAGAGATTAACTACAAATATTATATATTTCGAAATATATTGAATATATAAAATAAATAGAATAATTATATTTTGAGATTCCTCTGTTTTTGTTTTTTGAAAGGATTATTAAAAAAAAACAACAAATATTGCATGATTATTTGTCATATGAATGTATAGTGATTATACAAATGAATTTTTTTTATTGAAGAAAATTTTTTGGAAAATGAGACAAAAAAAAACACATACATTTCATAACAAATTCATACTATTCAAAACAAGACCAATATTTTTTATGTTCTTGTTTGACAAGATCTATTTTTTGACGAACATCACTATTTATATCAGTATTATTTTTCCATTTATCATTATTAATTAATGACAATTTGCCAATAAGAGCAGAAAGTACCGTTTGAACATAAGATGTTCTTGAAGATATACAAGATAAATCACCATCAAGAGCAACAACAAGTTTACTACTACTAATCATACTTAATTGTTCAATAATCCAAGCATAGCATTGTTCTGTTAATTGTTGAATATGAAAATCAACACAAACAATAATTAATTCTGGTTTAAATATTTTTGTTATAGGTAAAACAAGTTCATTAATAATATAAATATAATCTGTATCATTAATTTTATCTATTGATGATAAAGGAATATTCATCGTATAACCAAGTCCATCATTTTTTCCACATTCAAAATAATTTGATTTATGTTTATGATTTTCATTATGTATTGATATATAAAAAACTTGATCAGATTCATAATAAATTGATTGAATTCCACAACCATGTTCACTTGTTAAATCAATAATAAGTATACGTTCAATTTGAATTTTATTATTATTATTATTATCTATAATTGTTGATATTTTAGAATCAATTGGATAATCAATAATTGATGCTGGAGTTAATACATGTATCATATGACAAATAGCATTTTCAATACGTGTTGCACCTTGTACATCAAAACGATTTCTTGAATCAATTAATGTTAATGAATTTGTTTGTTTATTTGGTTTAGATTTTTTCATAAGAATAGAATTAATTCCTAATGCTATATTATTATATACAGATGTTTTATTTCCATGATCACGTAATGCACAATGACCAGGTGATGTTATAAGTATAAAACCATTTATATGTTTATCAAGAACATTTTGTATAACATCAATTGTTATTCCAGCACTTAAACGTGCATTAGAAAAAGTTGTTTCATTATATTCTATATTAAAATAATTATTTGATATATTTAATTGATTTTTTTCAGCTGATACAATCATATTAACATAATCACTTGAATGTAAACATACAAGTTCATCAATAGATGCTGAACGAATTTTAATTGTATAACAATAAGATAAAAGATCAGTTTTTTCAAGTACATCTGACAATAAAAGATCTTGTATAGCAATTATTGTTGATGGATTTTGAATATTATTTTTGACAATTAATTTATTAATTGTATCTGAATGAATTTCATTTTCATTTTCATTTTCATTTTCATTTTCATTTTCATCTGTTGATAATAAACCAAATTTAATTGATTCAATATGTTTTATTAATGGATTAAGACGAATATTTTTTATATAAGATTTACATGGATAACACCAAATAGATAAATCTTGAAGACTTATTGTTAAACAATGTCCAATATTATAATTTCCATCTGTAAGTAATGTAAATAACCAATGTTCTTCTCCATGATTATTTATATAACGACTACAATGAAGTTTACCACATGATAAACATAACCAATTTTCATTTGTACTTCCACAATCAATACATTGTTTATTATTAATATGTTTTAATTTTTCAAATAATTCTACATATTGAACATGTTCACAAGTTTGTTTAGGTATTATAACACCACCTTGATCTGTTTCGGGTGTTAATTCGACATCATCATCAAAATAATTATCCAAATTTGCTTCAACATTCATCTATAATTTATTGAAAAGAAATAAAATATTTTTGAAAAAGAAGTATGATATGTAATCTGTCATTAAACTCATCAACTAAACTGATCTAATAATCTTATGGAATATTCTAAGAAGTGCTTGCGGATAAAAAATAATAATGTAAAAATAATAGGAGTAAATAAGATTAGCATGGTAACAAAACAACTATATATATTATGGCATCGTTTCTCAGTTCTTTGGTATTTTTTTCTCGTACGTCAACCATTATCGAGAGAAAAATATCTGTACACACTTGTATACGATGTAAACAAACCTTTTATGAAACATTTTGTCGTCACTATGAATCATTATTGAAAGAAAATAATTCATTTGATTTGATTCATATTGTGATTATTCAATATAATTGACTTAAAAAAACAAAAATAAGTTTAAAAACATTTATTTAATCTCATTGACTTATTAATAGATATAACAATTTTTTCTGATGTCTATTAAGTATACCAATAAAAAGAAAAAGAATATTAAGCTCGTCAATAAAACAAAACTATGCGTGATTGATTAGCCGTGATCAACTATATTTGTTGAAGGTTAACATTTTTTGCTATTGTTTTGTTCTCTTATCTTTTTTACATTGACGTGCGTACATACGATAAACGTAATAGAGCTTGAAAAAAAACAACCAAAAAAAAAAAAAAAAGAAAGAAATACAAATATGAGACATGCATTATGATGGTGCTGTTAGAAGATTGAATGCATTATTCTTTCTAACATACGTATGCATATACAATTTATTCTTTTGTTTCTCATTTGAGAATACTTGAAAAAGAAATATTTACCGACCGTAAATAATTAATGTCAAATTGATCGTATTTATTTTTAGTTTCAATAACAATAATATACTTCAATGATTGAGAAATCTCTATCATGTATATTTAAAAATAGATTGATTTTGTTTTTTTTTTTTGTTATGCTTGTATTTCATTTGAATTTTAATAATACTATATCAAGGGTTCAATTGTAAATAAAATATCGTTATTATTATATATTAAAAATAATATGAAAGTTTTGTTTTTTGTTTTTAAAGGTTTTTTTTATTGATTAGGTACAAGAAAACAAGAGCGAATAATGCGTCAAATATGATATTAAATTATCTAAAATAATTCATAATAATAAATTAATAATTTATATTTACGAACTCAATCAAAGATTAGGATTTATTTTTCTTTTCTCATAAATATTTCTACAAAATTTTTGTAAATCTCTACGATTAAATGGAAATTCTATCTGATACAGATGTTTAAGATATATTTCACCAGGCATGTCAAATATTTTATGATAAAGATTGTGGGATTATTTGTTTGTGTTGATGGAGATGTAATTGAGTACAAAGTTTTTTTTTTTTTTTCTTTGATATTTGAAACATCGTTTGTGTTAGAGAGACGTTTTCATTAACAATAGTCAATATTCGTCATTGTAGAAAACAAATTTTGTTACTTGAAGCTTTCCTTTTCATGGACAGTTTATAATATGTAATAAAGAAACAAAATAGATGGCAGTTCTTACCATAGAAATAGAGTTTGATAAATATGACAGTATGTTTATTGTATTGAATCAAAATAGATTACAATTACATGTTTAATCAATAAAAACTAATTTTCTGCAAGATTAAAACTTGTCAAAAAAATCTTTTTTTGTTTTCATTCTTTACTTTCTTGACGAATCAATATTGGTATTACATTATGATTTTGAAATAACTGTTCGACTACATAAAAATACTAAAATAAATATTCTATATAAAAAAAAAAATTTTCTCAATTAAATAAAAAAAATGCCAATAATAGAATTAATTCCATTAAATAAAGGCAATCATATTATTCTTGATAATACTATCATAACAACAATTGGTCGTATACCAAATATTGGTTGTTTAGATAATAAAATATCTCGTAATCATGCACAATTATTTATTAAATCTGATGGAACATTATGGATAAAACCTATACATCATAATCCAACATTTTATAAAACAAAAACAAATCAAATAGTTACTCTAACGAAAAATAAAGAATATCAATTATATCATAATGATCAATTTGGTCTTTTACCAAATGAATATTTTTATCGAGTTTCAATTAAATCAAATGATGAACAATTAGAAAAATTTTCTGATTCAAATCAATTAATAAATTCATCAACAATACCAAAATCTCCAATTAAAGATAACGAAATTTTAACAATTGAAAATCATGATGAAGAGAAATCCGAAGTACAAACTAGTTCCATTTCAAATACAACTCGTGCATTACCAACTTGGATATCTAATAGCTCAATATCAACATCATCATTATCAACACATGATAAAGAACAAAACAAAGAAACACCCATCACTACTACATCGGTTCAACAGCAAACATGTAAATATTATTATATTCTCTTATTGGAATTTTTTATCAATATTATCTATTAATTAGATTCGGAGAGAAAAAAGACCAAAGAAATTGTTTACGACAATGATGATGAATCTACTCCTGTTGCTTCTTCAACAGGTTGAAAATTTTTTTTTTTATTTATTATCCTAATCCTAATGATATCAATTTGTTTTATATTATAGCACAAGCTAGTACATCTAATGATGTCAATGATCTAACTACAAATAATCAAACATCATCAACAGTTATCAATCCTATTAAACGAGAACGATGTCCATATGGAGAATCTTGTTATAGAAAAAATTTACTTCATCAACAACAAGCTATTCATCCTGGTGATCCAGATTGGGATACTAATGAAAATAATCAAATTAAAACAAAACCTGAATGTCCATATGGTAATGAATGTTATCGAAAAAATCCTGATCATTTTATTGAATATCATCATCCTAAAAAACGATGTATTGAAATTAAAACTAAACGACATACAAGAAAACGTAAAGGTAACATAGTTTCTAATACATACATATAAAAAAAAAAGACACATTTACTTTTCAGCAAGTGAAGATGATGATGATGATGATGATGATGGTTTACCAAATGAATATGATTATAATGATAGTTTTATTGATGATGAAAATCTTGATGATAGTGGGTGTACTACTGATGAAGAAGGTATATTTTTTATAAGAAATATTTGACTTTATTTTTCTTTGTCTCATATTTATTTTAGAAAGTATTAAATCTGATGATGATATTGAATGGAAACCACAGAAAAATTCTCGGACTTTTGATGAATCGGATGATGATTCATCAGATGACAGTGAAATGGATTTAGCGAAACAAGAAGCAGCTGAATTTATCAAAGGTTCAACTGTTAAAAAACATGGTCCCGTAATTAAAAAACCTCGTATTGACGACGACGTTAATGATTAATTCTCTAGTTATTTTTATTTTTATTACTGTACAAAATAATTAATTGTATATAGGTTACTTTTTGACATTGATTGTTTTCTATTTGTTTGATGTCGATGAAAGAATATAGTTTATCATGATGAAATATATCATATGTCATATTGACATGCGTAAAACAGACCTATTTGTATATGGAGAATTGTCTATTCAAAAAACTGTCAATGAAATTATTTTATTTATAGACATAGTAAGAAGATTGTTTTCAAGTTCTTAATAGGTCATAGACACTCAAATAAGTGGATCAATTCTATATAGGAGAATAACATAGAATTTTCATCTTATATCTAAGGTTATTGTGTTTTCATATGCCATGACATTTTAGCAAACAAAGCATGATAAATAGAGCACTACACAATATGTTTGTTTTTTGATATTTGAAAGAATAGGATTATTATGTTTCTGGTGTTATTGGGTATTTTGCGATTCTTCTAATATATTGTATTCAAAAATAGCTTTGATTAAGCTCTTTGATTATGATACAGATTTGAATATATCTAAACTTTAATTCTCGGTCAAAAATTATTTATATACTCTTAGGGACAAATTTCATTACGATCAGAGTTCTACAAGTCTGTATCATAGAAATATTATTAATCTATCTGTTTCACAAACTATGATATAGTTCTTCGTTGTTCATATGTTATTTAAGTTTCTCTGTTGCGAGAGAATCATTTTTACTTCTCTTCGTTTGTATAAAAACATTGCTTTAGCCTTTTTAAATAGTATAGTTATCGTATAATAATTGTAAATTTGATCTTATGATAGTTTTTCAAAAGTCAATAACCATACAATCAAAAGTAAATTTTGAAATAGATAATCTTTTGTTAGTGAAAAGATTGGATCACTTCAAATTCTACTCTTTTGATATCCTATGTCTTCTATGATATTTTGGATCTTTATTTTTCGATTTACCTTATTGTCATATTAATTCATTACTACCCATGTAGCCGGCTGTTGCATTATCATGTAATTATTGCCATTATTTTTCATTATAATGTAAAATAATGGCAATAATTACATGATAATGCAACAACCAGCTGCATGGGTAGTCTTTGGTGCATTCGGTACAACAATTGTCTATAAAAAAAATCAACAATCAACATTAATACAAAAAAAGTAGCCCAAACAATCTTTTGTACAAGCATACAACATTACAATAAATGATTTTTGTTTATGTCGTCAATATTGTGCGACAATTAACATTACAAAATAAATAATAAATAATCATTTCTTCCATGACGAACGAAAAATATCATTATTCATATATTAAAATGACTATTTTTAATTAGTTGTCGTCAAGTATTACTTGATGGTTCATCAACAGTTAAATCACAAATATCTAATTTCATCAAACTAAGTGTACCAAAAACAGAACTGATTAGGATTAGTAAAGATTTTATTTGCTGGTTGATCGAGAATATGTTTGAATAATCACTTCTTCTTAACTATAACAGTGATAAATATTTGAGTGACTTTTAAAATTCCTTGAAATTAACGTTTATGGGGAAAAAAAAGTTGATTCAAAATAAAACAGTGAATTGACTGATTGGTTAATGCAGTTCTACGCGAATTTTTTTCCTTTTCTTGTTTTTCGGCGTAGGCATTCGAAATTGTTATTTTCTATTGTGACGATCTCAAAAATATGAAAGTCCGAAAATACTCGTTGAGACGCGAGAATGAAATCTCATGATCGAATCGATAGCATCTGTTTTTTGATCTTTAACATGATGTTCCATTTTCTTACAGAGACCAATCCAAAAAGATAAATTTTTATGGACTTTGTTTTTTTTTTCAAGCTTCGAGATTATTAAAATGATGACAGTAATAAAATTTAGCGGAGACTCTCTTTACTTATATTTAATACAGTTGTGAATATGACTAATGATAGATAATGTATCTGACAGAGGATCATGCGATCAATCGAAATTATTCTTTGAAATCATGTTTATATCCGTTAGTAGAGTTATCTTATTAATAAATTTTCCAATGACAACTTCAGAATTTCTTTCTGATATTGACCATCTTATTGATTGTAACGTGACATTTCTAATTTACAGTGATAAAAAAGAACCCCTAATTCTAATATACTGTGGTTATCTTTTGCAGAAAAGCGTCTCATACTAAATTGTTCGAACGATTATTTTTGTTTTTAGAAAATATCGATTTATCCATCAATCAAGATTGAAGACCTTGCAGTGTATTTTGCAGTTGAGTGAAATTGGAATGTCATTCAGCTTTTTCTTCTTTTGCTGTTACTCTTTTACCTAGTTCGTAAAAATTTTTTCGTCTATAAAAATATTTAAATAATGATTGGAAATAAAAAATGAAATTCTAAAATATCTAGTCGGATTTTTATGTTCAACATTATATTTGTCTTTTCTTCTTACTCTTACTGGTATCGAATCTACATCAATTATAATCGAATTTAATGATCTCGATCTGTATATCTCAATACATACAGTAGAAATGAATGCTGTATACTTGATTATGAGTACGATACATGCTATAAACAAAATAATATTTATCAAAATTCTTGTTATTCTGTGATGTAGTCTGTTGAATATATTATATCAATAGGATAAACCAACATTATCAAGACTTTATTTAATTATAATGATTTTTAGTTTTAGCTTAACCAAGAATATATTTTACTATTATTGGAATTATATTTTTATATTAGTGTTGAAGACGATAACTTCGATTAGTTTTGTTATGATTTAAAACAAACTATAAGATAACAAGTGCTAATAATCGTTCTGATTTTGGATAGACAATATATTGATACATGCACACATGTTATCTATATTTTGATTTATATTAGAGAAATATCGACTTGATATTTTCTTTTCTAAATATTTGATTGATAACTAATAAGATACTTATGTTATACAAACATATTCATTGTTCTCATTAAATCTTTGACATTAAGAATGTCTCATAATAACAAAGAATAATATGTCCGTGACATTTTTTACACTTTTTCTTCGCCTAGAAGGCGGAAATTTTTATCACATATATCTCTCGTAAAGATCGTTGATTTTTCGAAGTTTTCGCTTTCTAAAACTGGTGCGCTGAAATGTATAGACATGATTGAAATACATGAATTTTTCTACTTGATATTTGTGACTTTATTTCTTGAATAATGATATTTATAGACATATGATAGAAAAAAAAAACTTTTTAAGACAATTTTTCAAAAAACGTAAATTATAATAAAACTCAATGTGTATAAACATGTTCTTCATTGTTTTCTTAGATCAACTGTAATTGATAAGACATTTCATTCATCATTTTTTGCACATGTGTCTTTAAAAAAATTTTCTCAATTCTTTTGCAATTTCTATTTCTAATTGTAACAATTTTTGTTAAACACTTTTTCGTGAACGTCTTTTTTTTCAGTGCATTCTATATATATTTAATTCATCGGATCGAGCATCGTTATTTACTGGTTTTATATGTTTATAAATATATTGTGCTATTAACTTTGTAGCCAATACTTCATGTTGCTTTGAGATGTATTAAATTCAATATAAAACATTTAAAATCCTTTCTATACTGGCAATTTATAAATATTTAAGATAAAATCTAAAAGACTCATGATATAAATGTGTTTCTTTATCGTTAAAACAATACTAGACCACTCTGTCGTGATTGAATAAGTAATAATAAAAATATTACAAAAAAACAAGTAGAAAAATTCATGTATTTCAATCATGTCTATATATTTCAGCATCAGTTTGAGTTAGAGAGCGAAAACTTTTAAAAAATTAACGATCTTTACGAGATCTATATGTGATAAAAATTTCAGCCTTCTAGGCGAAGAAAAAGTATGAAAAATATCATGGACAAATTATTCTCAGTTATTATCGTATTTCATTCAACATATAAATTTGTAATGAACTATTTTTTTTCACATTTTTGTATGTTTAAATTTGAAAATGAGATTATTACTGCTAAAAAGAAAGTATCTTTCGACGATTGATGGTCAAATGTATTGGCATTAGTTACAAAAGAAAAAAAATGTTGGGTCTCTGTGCTTTTCCTTGTCAAAAATGAGCCGATACACAACACCTTTAATGAACTTCAAAACACAATTTAGGACCATAGTAGCTTCTCTCATTTTCTCAAATTCTGCATCCGTCAGTGCTTCCGAAGGCTTTTTTGCCTGTACAGACTCAAATGTTGTACTGGTACAATGAGACCTCTATATTAATAGAATTATAATTGGTTCATACAATACTGAATCATTGTAAATAAATAAATACTTCTATATCTGTTTGTCCATTTGTGTTTGTCCGTAAAACAAATGAGTTCCGAGATTTATTTTCGATTTTCACTTTTCAGATTTACACTATTAATAAATTCGATTACAAAAAAAAAATGTCACTATTCGGTGGAGTTACATCACAAGCGCGTAGTCGAAATTTAGTTGAATTTAAAGCAGGAAAAATGCTTTTACGTGGAACAATGGTCTGTTATAATAAAATCTTGTATTCAATCTTTTTTTTTGTCATTAATTGATTTTTTATTTGTTATATTTTAGGTTCATCCAGATAAACGCAAAGGTCTTGTTTATTTATATCAAGGCAATGATATGTTAATGCATTTCTGTTGGAAAGAACGATCAAGTAGTACACCCGAAGATGATCTTGTTATATTTCCAGATGAAATTGAATTTAAAAAGGTTACACAAAATACAACAGGTAAAAACAATAAATGAAACGAACGAATTGAAATTTTTTGTTTTGCCAGGACGTGTTTATATTCTTAAATGGAGAAGTAATGCTCGTAAATTATTCTTTTGGATGCAAGAACCAAAAGATGATAAAGATGAAGAATGGTGTAAAAAAATTAATGATCTTGTAAAATAAAATTTTTCAAATTAATTATAAAAAAAAAATTTTTTTTGTTTTGTTTTTTTTGTAGCTTAATCATCCACCAACACCAGGTTTTGGTGATGATAGTAGTGGAACTGGTGGATTAGGTAGTGGTGCTCATCCATTACAATCATTAATGGATCGTATGGCAGGTAGTAGTGGAGCTGGTGGTATTGATCCGAATGATTTATCAAATGTTTTACGTGGTAAAAAAAAGAAAGTTTTTTTTTTTTTTTTTTTTTGTTATGAAAACAAAGAAAAAAAACAATTTCTGTTTACATATAGGAATGAATCCGAATGATTTAGCATCATTATTATCTTCAGTTGGAAGTGGTAGTGGTGCTCCTGGTTTAATGCAAGGTAGTCATCGTGGTAGAGTATTACCTGGTACATCAACTCAACAGGCAACATCTCTTCTAGATGCATTTGGTCAACAAACACCAGATTCTCGTCCAAATACAGCACCAGCTGCAACACGTAGTACAGGAACAGCAACAGCAACAGCTACTGGAGGAACAACATCAGCATCGAGTAGTAGTCGTCCTAGTGGTTCATCATCATCAAAACCACGTAATGCTGGAACAAGTTCATCACCATCAACAGCTCCTCCAAAAAGTGGAACTAGTTTAGAAACAACTACTGGTGGACCAAAAGGTGGTCCTATAAAAATGAGTGCATTGGCAGATATTTTGTCTAATTTAAGTGATAAAAATACAACTCAAGAAACTGGTAATGCAACTGCTGCTAAACCAACTATTGATCTTTATGATATAATGACTGCTGAGGTAAATTTAATTATTTTTGAAAAGAAGAAATATTTTAATATTCATTGTTTCTTTTCATTTTAGAATTTAATTCCAATATTAAGTAATAAAGATATTCAAGAAACATTACGAACTCATTTACCAGAAGGTAGTACAATCTCAGGTTCAGAAAATGAATTAAGAGAATCAATTCAATCACCACAATTTCGACAAGCTGTTAGTGCATTTAGGTTTGTTTGATAATCTTTTCTTTTTTTTTTTTTTGATGTTTATCTCTATTAGAATTTGAATGTTTCTGTTATTTAGTGTTGCTTTACAAACAGGACAATTAGGTCCAGTTTTAGCACAATTTGGTTTACCAGAAGAAGCAATAACAGCTGCAAATCAAGGTGATATACAAGCATTTGCTCAAGCAATGGAAAAACATTATAAAAAAACAAATGAAGAAAGTGATGAAAAAAAATCTTCGGATAATACAATGGATACAAGTTGATCAATAAATACAACAACTATTTTATCAGTTTTTTTCTTTCTTGTTTGCTTCTTTTTTTTCATTTATATTTAAAAACAAGAGAAAAAACAACTAACATATGCTCCTCATTTGTATGCAATGATTTTTTTTTTCTTTATTATTTCACAATAGCGAAGATAATAATATTGACGATTATACTTCTAAATTTTTCTTCTTATCGGACACATTTATTCTCTTAAAGAAAAAAAAAAGAAAATAACAAAAGAAAGACTGCCATTCTAAAACTTACTCGTTGTATAAAATGTCAATCATCGAATGATCTATCTTTTTCTTCTTATCACAATAATGAGACAAGATCAGATAAAAAAAACAAACAGAAAGATACGAAAGTTGTATACATCTATTGTATATATATATATTTTTTTTTGTACTAGGTAAACTATTTTGATTTTTTCTGTTTTAATATTAATTGATAGCTCGATTATCATGCCATTTTCTAAATATTGATAACAATACTTGAATAATGTAAGTTTAATGTATATTTTATTGAGCTCTTGTCTAATAGTACACATGTCAATGTACGTTTTCTCATAACAATAAATATGATGGACTGTTGATGGTTACTTACTTATCAATCTTTTTCTTAACAGACGTGTGGATGTATGCACGTTAATAAATAGTTTGTTTATCAATGAGTAGAGTAGAAAAAAAATAGCTGTTTTCTTTTTTTTTTTTTTGTTGTTGTTGTCTAAACTATCTAATTTCATATGAAATTTAATGACAAGGAAACTTTCGATTCTATATTATTTTAAAAACAAGAAGAAAAAATTTAGTAACTTAACTATGTTAAATAACATGATCAGAAATATAATATATGAAGATAAAAGACATTATCGAGAATTATCCGATATCTATGCACGTTTATATATTGTTCAACTAAGTTGTACGATAATTTCTCTCGTTCTTTCTTTGCCCTTTTCTTAATCTTTTTCTTCTCCATACTTACACATATTTTGTGACTCAAAAAGAAGAAAAGAACAACAAAGTCATATAGAAGTGCTTATCACTATAATAAGAGCAGCTGATCATGGCCTGATGTCGAAATCATTCTATTCTCTCATACGACTTTTCTTACTTGAATAGAAAAATTGATATTATTAATATATTCTAGTGTTATTATTAATATAATATTAAAGAAATAGAATAATGATTAGTTTTCAATATAAATTATAAATGATGGTTGTTGATGTACGTAAATTAAATAATGGTATAGGTCCAGCACGACCTGTTTATCAACATGGACATTTTTGTGTTCGTGCATTTCATCGTCTTATATCTTATCCAAGTTATACATTATTTCTATTATTTATAATATATTTACTAATAATGGATATAATACTTTATTTTAAAATACGTTCAAGAAAATTATTAGATTTTAATTTATCAGATACAATATTAAATCAAAAAATAATTCATACAATAGATATATTTGATTTATTATCCATAAAAAAAATTATGATTGAACCAATTGTAAATATTTCAATTAAAAATAATAAATTTTAACTTTTTGTTTTTTTTTTTGGATTTCTTTATCTTCTAGATTCATTATGTTCGTTCACCATTAGCTGAAAGTCTAGAAACTAAATTATATTTTACATATTATTTTCCATTTATATCAGCAAATGTAATATCATATTTTCATTGTTTTTTATCATTAATATCAATAAAATTTATTTCAAATGAATCATTATTTCGACGTCAAATAGGTGTTATTATATTTCAATTTCGTACATTTCTTGATTGTTTTGATGGTGTTATTTATCGTGCACATACAAATGATAAACGTTTTAAATCATATTATGGAAATTTTGGTTATTATGTTGATGCAATTAGTGATATAATAGGAGGTATATGTCTAATTATTGGTTGTTTACTTTATTTTTTTAAACAACGATCATTTCATACAAAATTATCCATAAGAACACATTCAAATAAATATTCAAATTCATCAGTAAGTAATGAAGGAAATAATGAAACTGATTTAATTATATTGAATATTGATGATGATGATATTGAGGCTCAAACATATTCTCATATTCATTCATCATCAAAAACAACTAATATGAGTTCTAATTTATTTGAAACAAAACAAACTATATTTATAACATTAGTATTATTTTCATTACGTTATTCATTATCTGCTATATTTTGGAATAGAAATGTACATGCTTATGAAGATTTACTTGATTCACAAGTAGATTTATCACAACAAAAAGTTTGAATTAATCGTTTTTTTCTTTTAAATTTATTTAATAAAATAGTTTTTTGTTTTTTACTTTAGTCTTTACAATTAAGTATTTTACATTCACCATTAACTATATTGATATTTTATTTATGGAGATATTTATGTGCACTTAGTATTCAAGATTATCTTTCATTTGCAATTTTTATTGATCGAACTTGGGTATGTTTATTACCTAACACTTATAAATTTTATGAATTTTTTTGTTTTGTTTTTTTTTCTCTTAGGAATTTATACAAAAAACTAGTACGATATATTGGTGTACTTTATTATTAACAATATTTTTAACAGAATTACATATTAATCAAATACGATCTCTATTTACTGTTCTTGCTACTAAATAATTAATATTAGAAATTAAAGAACACAAACAAAATTAAAAAGAATGAACTTTGTTTTTATGTCGAGTTTGATTGTTAGTTTGATAAATTTTGTTTTTTCTTAAATCTTCAGATTTTTTTTGTATGATAAATGTTCAATAAATAAAATTAGTGATAAACAAAAGTTTATCTCATATACAGTCTTTAACAAAAGTAGCTCCCTCCCTATGAAGTGCTACTATTCTTTATAATATTGAACTAATATTTTGGGTGCATGCATGCAACAATAAATCCTGATCACAAGCACTAACTCGCCTTCTATCAGTTAATATGTACTGGGGGGTTATGATTCATATATCTTCTTTTCTCTATAATCACCTTAGCTCAATCGTGTTGCCGCAAGTTTTTTCGTCTAACTCTTCATTCGAAAGCCAAATTTCATTAGAAAACATTTTAAAATAACTGAGATATTGTCTTCTTATGAAGAAGGTCTATTGAGAAATGAATGCTGATTGTGAATAATATGGATCTTTTCCACGATGACTTTGATAAATTCATTTAAAAATTTTAGTAGAAAGTTTCGATGAGACTGCTCTGAAAGTTTTACAGTCCCAGAACGGAATGAAGTTGAGTTAGCATTAAGATCTAGGTTCACTATCTCACAGCGTGTTAATTATTAAGAAACTTGACTATGTGTCAAGAACATATGAGACTGCCTCTAGCGTTAGAAACAACAGTAGTAACTTGTGGAATAGCAAAATGGTAAATGAAAACTTTTTGAGCACATATTTCCACTGAATATGTTTTTCATAAGGAAAAGAAGATGTATGAATCATAACTTTAATATATGTGAACCTATGGCGGGCGGAGTAATGCATGCAATTGAAATTTATTGTTACGTTCACGCATCCAAAAAATCAGCTCAGTATCTTAAAGAATAATAGCACTTCATGAGGGAGGAGCAGCTACTTTTGTCTAAGACCGTACATATATATATATATGTAGTAGGTAAAATTGGAATTCTAATTTTGATCAGATAAGATTACGATTCATATAATGACGTCCTTTACTAAAAGCAGAGTCGAATAAAATAACCTGAGAGAGAAAACTGTAGCCATAGGGGCTATGTTGATATGCGATCGAAGAAAAAAATGGGATTTTTTTTTGGTCCGACAAAATATCATTCAAAACGCGGTAGTTCTGTAAATATGGGTGAATAGATTAAAATGTTTTGTCTTGTAAATTGTTTAGTAGAATGAAAAGATAGTGATGAATATGAAGAAAATAGTTATTCTATTCAGATTTTAATTGTTTTTCTTTATTGCGTGAATTTATCTCTAGTGAAATTATAATTCTATCCAAGCAAAAATGAAATTCCAGTTCTAATTGATGAGTATCTAGTCAATATTAGAATTCTAATCTTGCCTACAATATATACATATTTAACAATAATTTATTTGCCAGTCTGTATCGACTTTATATATAAACTTCGATGTATGTATGTTTATTGTTTGTTGTATAATATAAATATAGATTTTAAATGCTAACAGAAGACGAGCATATTTAAGAGAATTTCAATGGACATTTCGAAATAAGTACTCTTTGATATACTCGATTTACTCCTTAAAATATATATCAAAACATTCATTTTGATTTTTTGTTAAATATACTCACTGTTCCATTCATTTTGTAAATGATAGAAAGTTTTTCTTTTTTTACCAAATACAAATTCTTTTGATTTCATTATCATCGATGATTTTGATTAATTGTTTAGAAACAAAATTAAAATTGAACAACAATGAGAAGTAATAATATCGAGCGAATAAATTTAATAGAAAAGAACTATATTATCCTAATTATGTCTATAAATATCAACGACTTTTTCATAGTCAAAAGTATATCAGCATATTCAATAATCATGTTTTTTTATAAATACCAATCAGAGTACTTCATTGAATCGGCTTAATAAACAGATGACAGATCCGTTATTAGATACAGAGCTGTTTAAATTAGTCTGTCCAGAAAAAGACTTAGTGTAGGATTGCCAATTTTATCCGATATAGGACTCAAAATTTCAATTATTAAAATTAATACCATTAGGACGATTATCAAAAAATTACCAACAACGATTTCATGTCATATTTAACTTCAGAAAATTTAAGTACTTTGTTTATTTCAAGTGATCCATATTTCCAACTGAAAAGTTAATATTATTATTTTTGTGTAGTAAATAAAACAAAAATTTGTACAAAAAAAAGAAGAAAAAGAAAAGAGAAAATAAAAGTATGTTATTTATTTGCCTTTTTTTTTTGCTTGTTATAAATATAAATATAAAGAGATTATTTTTGTGTCTTTTTTAAATATTCTTCAATAGCTTCCATACCTTTTCGACAAACATTTAATGGTGGATTTTCTAGTGGATTTCCTTCAAAATTTGATGATAATTCACAATGATAATGCCAATCAAGATGTTTAAGTTGTGAAAAATTTTTTGGTAATTCTTTTAATTTATTATCACCTAACCATAATGTTTCTAATTTTAATAATTGACATATTGCATCTGGTAAAATTTTAATATGATTTCCAAGTAATAATAATGTACGTAATTGTTTAAGATTATGTATACTTGATGGTAATTGTCGTAAATAATTATATGATAAATCAAGAAATAATAATGATTTTGATAAATAACATAAACATAATGGCATTTCTTCAATTTTATTATTTGATAAATGACATGATTGTAAATTTTGTAATTGACGTATTTGATCAGGTAATGTTGTTAAATGATTATTACTTGCTGTTAAAATTTCTAAATGATATAATTCACCAATTTCATTTGGAAATGAAACAATATTATTATTATCTAAATGTAAACATTTAAGATTAATTAATAAACGAAAATCAGTTGGAACACGTGATAATGTATAATTCATTCCAGATTTTGATTCAGGTGTTATATCAAGTATATCCAAATCAGTTAATTCATATAATTCACTTGGTATTACTAATGTATCCATACCTAGATAGAAATTTATATTTGATTGATATTTTTTGTTTTTAATGAAAATTTTTACCTTTTAAATGTAAACTTTTTCGTCCATTTGGTAAATGTTCAACTAACATTCGTAATCGACTTTGAGTTTTAATAATTCGAATTTGTTTAGTAGATTCAGTTGTAGAACCTAGAAACAACAACAAAAAAAAAAACTTTATTTTGATTTATTAAATCTTTTTTGATCAAACTTGTTCCATCATGTATGTTCGATTTCGAAATACTACGTTGTCGTTTTTGTGTTGTTGGCATTAGAAAATTTTTCGTATTAATATTAAAAAAAAATATAAGTGCTTGTCAAATGCTTCTTTTATACTATTTTCTAAGTGATTGTTGATTTTAGTTTAAACAACAATTTTTTTTCTTGTTCTTTTTTTTTTTTTTTTTTTGAAAGAATAATATTTACACTGTTAACTACCATATTAACTTGTACAAAATTATAGGTCTTCTGTCTTTAGCTGCAAGAAAAAAAGTTGAATTTTTTTTTTCTTTCATGTTTGCATCTCTTCTTTTTTTGTTTTACTATCTTTTAACGGTAACAATACGACGTATCGTAATGTCATATGATAAGACATATTTTTTTTTTTTGTATGCCAATGTTTGTGTTGTGTACTTATTCATCATTCCTTACATCGACTTTTTTTTTTATTACTCAGTATACGAAAAAAGAAACGCAATTTTCATTCTTGATGAGATAGAATTTTTTTTCTTTATGTATTTGTAGTCGAACGCATGTTTGTCATTATGTAAGTAAAAGATCAGTTCTCTCTCCTTGTTTTTTTGTTACGAACAAATCATTCCATACTATTAAAGGATTATGTATTTGTTATTCGTGATAAAATAGATTAATGACCTATATAAATTATTTGAGATGAGAATTTTTCAATGAACTTTTTTTTTGTAAATTTCATTTATTATTTTATTTATATTATTATTATTATTATTATTATTAGTTTTTGTATTCAGACATGTTTTCTTCCCTATTTGATAATTGATGTTTGAAGATTGAAGATAAAATACTATTTATCTAAAAAGTAACATTTAGATGTAACTTACCAAGGACGTGTGCACCTAACTAACATTGTTAACAAACGACGGATTTTTTTTTTTAAATGTTTATTTTAAGATTTATTTTATAATATAAATAAACTTTTATTTAAACAAAAGAATGGAAAGAGATGAAGATGATGATATTCCAACACCAAATACAAGTCGTTCAAATAGTATTAATGAGGATGAAGAGAAATCATCTTCATCCCCTTTACCACCTCCAGATGAAGAAACAATTCAATCTGAATCTTCTCCTACAAGTAAAATATCATACAATTTAATTTATTTAATTTATCAAAATTTATCTATTCTATCTAGAAGGTACATCTAACAATATTGCTGAACAAATAAGAACAACATTAGCAGCAAAACGGGCTTCATTCGCATCAAGTTCTTCTTCTGTTTCTGCTTCGTCAGAATCTGACACTGACTTTGTTGATGTTACTAAAAATGATGTCACTCAAGATGGTTCAACATCAATGAGTGCCGTAAGTTTTGCTAACTGGCTGATGCGCTCAAATGATTGCTTTATATAAGAATATGTAACAACTGTAGATAATGACATGTAATTATTATTCTTTAAATGGCTGCTTTTAATGTATCATAGATCATTTTCTTTTTAATTTTTTTGTTTTATTATCGTAACTATTATATGAAAAAACTTATTTTGAATGAATGAAGACAAAAACTTTTAAATCGTAACTTGAAAATTAAATGATTTGTTAACAACACAAAATTAAATTCATAAATCGTTGATGTAAAATCGTCTATCGTATTTCATAACGATGTCGGCGACCTTTCACGTCGAAAAAAAAAGAACATAAGGCAAGAGAAATAGACAAAAGAAAAAAAAAAGAAAAATGAATTACTTCCTACACATAACTTAATTATCACTCGTCCATCACTAGTCAATGTCGCATCCTTCTCTTCACCTATGACATTAGTTTTATATAGGGCGCACATGCCTATCAATACAAATGTATATGTGTCGAATGTCTGTATAGTGTGAAATCATAATCAATTGTTATTGTCATTTGTGTTGATGAGTAAGCTAACAAAAAAAAAAAAAACTCTGAAATCAATTCAAAGCATCCTTTTTTTCTATATAAATACACGTCTTAATGTCTTTTGCATTCATGATGAAGGATAAATAAGTAGCTGATTTATACTGAAGGATAAACTTGTTTTCATCGTATCTGTATATTGATCGGTCTCAGATGAAAAAAAAACAATATTTGTCCTTTGGACAACATTTACTTAAGTTGATTAGATTAATCTACAGCAAGTGTATTGACATATCTTGTATTTGACAGTATTTTTAGGAAAAAAAGAATCTTTCAGTATTGTTACGCAAAACTATCTCTATCTCATTCTTTCTGATCATATATGTGTCATATATTAATTTTGACACTAGTAGAAAAAGAAATTCTGTCTCAATACGATAAACGAAGGACAATTTGAGTCATCATAGAATAGTGTATATAAGTGACGAAAAAAAAAAAGACAGTCAAACAAAAAAGAATAAGAACAAAAAAGTGTCTTTGACGCTTTTACTAGTGTATTTTTTTTATTGTTGTTGTTATTCCTTCTTGTTTCTTTCAGTTTACTAGCTTATTTGCTCGCTTGCGCTTTTTTTCTTCCGTATTTTAGACGTATCATTATCTTTTTTTTTTTTCGATAGATTCTCTTCGACTATTGTTAATTCTTTAGAACTTTTTTTTTTTCCTTCTTATTCTTTATTCTTTTCCTTCTCGTTCTTTGCTTCTCTTCCTTACTGTCGATTGTCTTCGCTTTTTTCTTTTTCGCAACAAATGTTCATCTAATCAATATGACGTCTGATGTCGAAGATCTTACGAGATTTTACGCTAATTTACCTTCTATCTTTGAAATCGATCCATCAACTACTATTCAATCATCGTCTGATACTATCAATACAATTGTTAATAATGAAAAAATTTATCAACCAATATTTGGTTCATTCTTATTTGCTAATTCTGAACCATTTACTAGAGCAGCATTTATCAATTCTATATCATCATCAATTGATATAAAAACAATACAAAAACCAAAAATGAATGATAATGATTCTATTATAAAAGAAAATCATATATCAAATAGTACTAATATTCAATCAACATCACATCCATCATTAGTATCAATTGAAGATTTTAGTGATATGGATAATGAAGATGATTTTGATGGTATTTCTATTCAACATAATTCTACTTTAATAAAGAAAAAACTTAATAATGATAATAATTTACTTGATAGATTTAGTCATAATCATAATGAAAATGATGATGATAATAGTGATTCATTTTTAAATGATTTTACTGATGAAGAACAACAACAACATGATTCAATATCAATGTCATTTCTATTTAAAGATATTCCTGATATTGATGATCCAAATGAACATGAACAAGAAGATGATGATAGAATATTATTTGATCATATGGATATGTTCGATCAATCAGATTCAATATGTTCATCATCACCTGATTCACTCTTATCATCATCGCATTTACGTGATGATGATGACGAAGAGATAAATAATAATAATGATGATGACGATGTCACACTATGGAATGATGATTTTATTCTTGGAAAAACAACTTTACAAAATGATCGACCAAATGCACCATTACCACCTCCAATAGCTTTAAATTTAGATCTACAAGATCAAGTAGATTTTATTGATTCATCACCTAGTAATTCAATATGTTCAAATGATTCATTACATTTAAGTATTGGTTATACTGATCAAGCACAAATTTTTATTAATGATGGTGATGATTTTATAACATCATCTGATTCAGATAATGATGATGGTAATGATGATGATGATGATGATGATGATGATAAAATTCATGTTGAAAATAATATATTCAATTATGATGATAATGAAGAATTATCTCTACAAATTAACCTTGATTATCATCGTTCAAGATCATCTTCTTCAATTCTTCAAAGTCTTAGTACATATTCATCATCACCTATAGTTACTATTGATGAAGATATCAATGAAATAAAACCTATTCAATCAGGTTCTATTGCTAAAGTTGATGATGATGATGATGATTATGATGATTTAGAAATATTTAATTTTGATCAATCAGTATTATCTAGAATATCATTAGAAAATCTTCTTCAATTAAAAAATGAAACAAGACAAAATGAAATTGTTCATGATATTATTCGTATGAGACGTGTGTTTAATGAACATGATAATGATGATGAATTTATTGCTATTATGCATAATCCAAGTATATTTGAACAAGTATTATATGATAGTGATAATCAACAGGTAAATTCTTTTCTCAAGGTCATCTCGTTCTCTTCGAAAAAAATAACAACAGTAGTTAATGTTCATCAAAAATGAGAAGATAACCCGAAGTCTGTTCTTTCATAAACAATATGATATTTGTTTATTGGTCATCTTCGTTTGTTTTGCTGACATTTTGCGTTAGAAAATATCCTGTTTTTGTTTTTCAGTTCTCTGTTTATACTTTCCTAATTGCGTGCCAAAAGAATTCTCAAAGGAAGCTCTATTGTAGGCAATCGCTTTTTCTTCTGTTTGAATGAACATGTTAAGCTACAGTCCCTAACGGAGATCATTTCTTGGATTAAGCTTTTTCTATTATAATATAAATAAAAGCATTTCTATAAATAATTGACCATTTTTTGAGAATTTTCCAAAGTATTGAACACTTATTATTCTATATCTCCGCACAAAAAATGAGAATTTAAAAACAAAGGATACTGCAAATAAAATCTATAGAATGAAGGCCTATACAGAAAACAAATGATCTATTTTTAATCTTTGTTTATTGAATATTTCTCGCAATTCTAAAAAACTTCATGTGATTTGAATGCACCTGATTAAAGATGAATTTTTAAATGCAGGGGAGGGAATATTTAATTATCATAGAATAATCCTTCAACAAAAGTCAAGGATAACCGATCTCTTTATATTCTCATATGGTTTTGATTCTTCTGTTTGTTGCTAAATTGATCTATTTCGTCGGTAGTTGATTTATCCTCTTGGTAGGATATACATGTTATGCAATATCTCATTGATAGATACTGTCATCATTATCCATCAATCAGTTAACTACAAGGAAGAAAAAAAAGAAATCAATTTATCATATTCTTATATATATGTATATATATATATATTTTTTTTTTTTTGTTTTTAATAGCAATTGGATTTAGCCAAGCAAATAAATATTGTTACTAGTATGGTTCATACATCACCACAACCATTCATTGATAATAAAATTGAAAGCAAATCAATTGAACATTACCAAAATATACAACAACCATCACCATCATCAGCATCATCATTATCAATATCGAACAGCAAAAAGAACAGTCGTTCTAACATAAAAACAACAAATAATTCTTCTACTACTACTGTCAATCACTTTCTCATAGATAAAGAAAAAGAAGAAAATGTTGATGCTATTACTAGTTCTAGTCTAATAGAAAAGAAAGAAGAGAAATTATCAGAAAAGACTTGTTCAAATATCAACAGAACAGACATTATGAATAATAAACATGAACAACAAAATCATTATCAAATGATGAGTTCAGATGATGAATTTGATAATGATTTAGATTTATTAAATACACTTGCTCAACTTCATGGTTTAGTTTATATACCTCGATTATCATCAGAAATAAATCAAAAGACAAATGAACAAATTCAACAATATAATGAAGAAAAAACTTCATCAAAATGTTTTTCTTTAACATCATTAACATCTTCTGGTTTATTTAATAATAATGAATCACATTCTACTGATATTATTTTTGATTTCAATGTAGCATCTTCATTAAAAGCATCAACAAATGAATTAAATAATTCAATAACATCATTAAATCATTTCATAATTAATGATTTACAAAAAACAAATACAATATCAAATATAAATAATAATAATAATCATTTACAACAAACAACAATACGAGATAATATCAATTCTAATTTTAATGATTTATACAATCAATCCATGTCTTATGAATCTTTACTCAATGACAATACAAATCTCATTGATTATTTACATTGGCTTATAAATCATTTAAATGACGATTTAAAATCACCAACTAAATTTCATTCAATAGAAAATCTTGAAAATCTTATTCAAAATAATCATACAATAACAAATACTATTCATCATACTAATAAATTTCAACAATCTAATATTATTCAAGAAGAAAATCGTATGTTATCCTCTATCAATACTGATATTACACAAATTATTGAAAAATTAACTTCAAATATTCTTCAATTAAAATTAGATGAAATCAATGAATCTAAACAACGAATTGCATATTTTGTTGATCAACTTTTATCACAAGCAATTTATGAAGTTAATAATGAAGATCATAATTTAATGGTTGATAATCTTGAATCAGTTATGAATTGGCATAAACAAACAGATGAACAATTACTCGATCCATTTGATCAAACATTTGATAATATGTGGATGAAACAATTTGAAGTATCTGATGACATTATAAACCAAAATAATATTGATAGAATATCATTTTATTCAAATACATTTGATGAATCAAATTTATTTTCTACTATATCAAATCAAGAAAATCCTATACAAGAATCTCTTTCATCATCATTACTAATAAATTCTTTTGATTCATCTATTACAACTAATAATTTAACGAAATATTCATTGATAGAATCAATTAGAAATATTAATTCAGATGATAGTTCGATTTTTCAAAATGATTTTATTTTCAATAAGGTAATTTTTTTGTCATAAATAATTTCTAATACTTTTTTTCTTTTGTTTCTTTATTTTTAAAAATTCTTTTAAGTATATAGGGTAAAAAATAATTGAGCACAGTTTGCTATCAAGCTTTCAGCTCATATGCATTTTTTTTTTCTCACCTGATTTCATTTATCTCTTATTATATGTCATATATAGTTGATGAATTCTATTAAATTATATATTTAGAGCAAATCATCAATAACGACTGATGAAAAAATTAAGGAAGAAATAACTGAGTCAAAAAATTTACCAGTACGTAGTTTTATTCTATTAAATAAAATAAAGAAAAAAAAATGTTTTGTTTTCTTTTTTTTTTAAGTCAACTGAAAATGAACATATTACTAACGCACCAACAACAAAAGAAATCAATGGAAGTGACAGTATAAGTAGCGACAGTAACAATGATGATAATGATGATGATGATGATCAATCAAAAAAATTAGCCAATATTTTTGCAACTACATCACGTTTATCACAATTTGAAGCCTACGCTAGCGATCAACCACTTAATACACTAGATGAAGTTGATGGTGAATATGAAGAAGCATTATCAGATCCACTTGAACAAAAATCTAATATAACGAAATCTACTGGTGGTGATGATGAACCATGGGAACTTGAAGATAGTGGTGAAGAAAAAGTAAAACCAATACCAGCAATAATATCACAAAAATATGATTCATATGATAATGTTCCTTTGGATTCTCCAGTATTAAGAGTAGCATCAAAATTACCACCAAAAAAAGAAGAATTCAAACATAAAGAAGAAAGTACTGACGACAGTGAACAGGAAAATTATGATAATTATTTTGATAAACATAAACCAACTGAAGATACTAGTGAAACACCAATATCAAAAACTGTACGATTTGATGAAAATATAGAAAAAGTTGCTGTTTTAACACCACAAGATAGTCTTGACGGATCAGCAGCATCAACTACAAGTAGTGATACAGATGACATTGAAGATGAAGAAGATACAACACTGAATTTTCAAACAGTTAACGATCGAATTACTGATTATATGAGTGAAAAAGAAACAAATAAGAAAGAAACTAATGAGGATAAAACAGATGAAGTTACAACACGTAATACTACTCATCCACCAGAAACTCGTATAACATCAACAGAAAGTGAAGATTTACCACCACCATTACCACCGTTACCACCATTAAATAAAAAATCATGTACGTTCATTGTTTAATACAATTTAATTTTATTTATTTATTTATTTATTTATTTCAGCTACTTCATCGGATAACATTCCATTAAAATCAACAACTTCATCATCACCAAAATCCAATAGAGACTTAAAACGTACAATAAATTTACGTTCTGAATCAGAAATGACTCCAACTATGCAAACAACAACTGATGCAAAATTATTAAGTGATACAGATACACCAATGGTTCGATCATTTGAATCAGGTATAGTAATAAATATGATTCGTATTTATTATATCGTGGCGAACATACGTTTTGAGTAACTGCACTTTTAAATTTTCTTCTCGATAGTAATAGCTAGCAAGAGTCTGAAAAAAAGATTTTATTTAATAGAGTAAATAATTCTGAGTAAAATGAAACATTTTCGATCTCATCTCTCCATAACTTCCCTTCATTGAACTGCAGTCAATTTACAGAAGTGCTAAACATGGCAAAAAAACATTGAAATTTTCAATAACAAGAAGAGTAAAATGTTTCTTGGTCCTTCTGTAAATTGAATGCAGTTTGATGAAAGAAGGTCATAGAAAGATTGAAGACGTTTCATTTTACTGAGAAGTATTTACTCTATCAAATAAAATCTCTTTTCCAAAAGCGTTGCAACGGATGCCAAAGATCTAATTTAGAAATCTCGTTTTCTGAAGACTTTCATCTCAGCAGTTTTGTGCAAGCCTTCGAGCCTACCTATCTTGATCGGAAGTTCTTTCAGGTACATAAATGTTTTATTTTTGAATGCTTGCTAGCTATTATCACCGAGAAGAATACTTAGTCATACAGCTGCTCGAAACTTTTGTTCGTCACTATAGTTGAAGATATATGATGTTGATAAATATCGTTGTTGTTAGTGATTTATTGTTTGAGAATAATTATTATGATTATGACTTGAAGCAATATCGTAATAAGTACAATTATATAACAGCTAAAAATTGACTGTTTTTGATTGTAGTAATGTTGATCGTTGATTATTAAATAGTTATTTAACATTATTGTTATTCAATATCATGCACTGATAGCATATGTAATAAGGATTTATAGAATATCTTTAAATGATTTTATTAATAGAATTTGATATTTTTGTTTTCTATGAAAATTATCAATTAAAATTTTTAATTAAAATATTTTCATTCGAATTAAATAATCTTTTAAATTATTAATTGTTAATGAACAATATAGTCGTTCGAAATCAATAATGAGTATTGATTCTTGTTTTAATCAAGTTTTATAAACAGATGAATATTTATTCTAGACAAAAGAAAGATAAGATAAAAAGAATATAAACTTTTTATTACACTGATGTCAATGGTTTTATTGAATGATGTAATTCTTTTTTTAATTCAAGATAATTAAGATAACGAAAAAAATTTTCATTATGTTTAATATTAGTCGATATTTCGTTTGATCTATCAATATATCGATTAATTTTATTATTAACACTTCAATGCTGTTATTCATAGATGACGTCGTAATCATTGTTGATGGTGATGAATTGAAATCATTGAATAAAACATAATTCATTTCTTGATGAAAAATTGTCAAAATTTCATTTTCTTCAACATTCTTATTTTTTATTTGAATATCAAATGAAGTCTTGTTTTTAAATACGTTCATCAATTTATTTTCCTATTGAATTTATTTAACTGAGATATTGATCATATAAGTTTCTTCAAACATACAAAGAGATTCTGTTTTTTTTTTATCAGCATCAATCAAATTTCTATTAGACATTGTCATCTTTAATACATACAGTTTCTTGGTATTTTCATTAGGTTTTTTTGATTGACAAGCTTGTATATTACCACATGGTATTTAATGCAAACGATGTAAAAAAAAAAGCTTTAATAAATCATCCTCACTATTGCTAACTGTTTTTAGTATCCAGGCTTGATGTCTTTTTTTTGTGGAACTCACATATATTTGCGAAGAAAATAGTGAGTGTAAGTTTTAAGTTCAAGTTTTCATGGCTCCCCCCTCTCTCCATTGCAACACTTAGCAACGGAGGCTACCATTACAGACAGACCTTCCATTGCAGACATCCCTCCCCCCCCCCTCCATTACAGACAGACCCCTCAATTACAGACATTCTCCATTACGGACCTTAGCAATTAAGAATAACAGATGTCAGACTTTCTGGTTTTTTTGAAAAATTAATTAAGTTATAATTTTGAAAGATAATCAACATCATTGTTTGTGAGTTGATTAATATGTATAATAGTGCATAAGAAAAATAGAGCGCTCTCAAACAAAAAAAAAAACTTCTGTTTTAAATGTAGAAATAAATAACAAAGTCTCGCTCTTGTCATTGATTATCAATGAAAACAACTACAGTGTATACGAAATTTTTCAGTTTACATATGATGTACTAGAATATTAAGGTTTCAGGATATATGTGAGTTCCACATTTCAGCTCCAAAGGAGCTGCTCTAACAAGCTTTTTTTGATATATTTAATTTATACAATAAGAAAAAAAGACAGCAGAGTATTACTGATTATATCAGAGTACATTACTTTTTTTAGTTACACAAATCAATGAATAGAATATAAAAACAAGGAAAATATATATATTGAAATGAGTATACATAGTCAATAGAGTTATTTGATAGCGTGAACATATATACATAATGGAGCGAGGAATCTTGACTGTTAGGTATATATACATTGCACTCATCATTATTATTATTATTATACTCAACGTTATGTTCATATCAAATAATATGTTTTCTTCTTTTTTTTTTCTTTTGCAAATACTTATCTATTATTTTTCTTCATTATTATTATTTATTTCTGAATTTTTCTCATTGTCACTTTCTGCAATTGAAGTAAGCAAAGTTAATGCACATGGTATTGAACTAACTGAATGAAAATCAAGTAATTCTTCAACAACAATAGGTGTTGTCAATGTTTTTGTTGTAATCATTAATTGATCATTTGGTATTTGTTCAGATTCGATTAAATCATGCGTAGTTGAAAAACTTCCATGATTATTATTATTATTATTATTATTATTGGTTGGTGCTATTGTTGTTGTTGGTGGTGGTAGTGCTGTTTCGATTGATTCTTCTGTTATAATAATAGAACTTGGTCGTCGTTTTTCCTGTTCATTAACTATACAAAATGTAGGTTGTAATGGTGTTTCAATAGGCGCAAGTATTCCTGTAATTGGACTTGCATCGCCAGCATTACGACGCATAATTAGATTTGCAAGAAGATTTGATGGTTGTAATGTTGATTCACGTTTTGGTAATATTGATCTTATAAATCTTGGAGCTTTACGTACATTACTATGACTACTATAAATAGATGATGATTGATTTCTTGGTAGTTGACTTTTATAGTCACCTTGAATAATACGTTGTATTTCAGCATTTGATACAGGTGTATAAGAAAGTGCAAGACGACCACTTTGACAAGGAATTGCTGATGAACGACGATCAATTACTTTTTGTCGACGATAATAAGCCATTTCAAGACGATATATTATTAAACGAGCGAGACCAATAAATAATAAACAAATAACAATTGGTGATACACCAACTAGAACAGCATAAAATGTTCGACGAATACATTGACGTGAACATTGTTCCATAATGTTGCATAGAAAACAGTTACTTATACAATTATCTGCTGAAACAATCATCCGATACAAACACTGAGATCTTGTTAGTTTTTTTTGTCTGATAAAGATTTATGTAGAATGGACATTTTTCTTGACTTTACTTACTACGGCATGTTGTTAACGAAGTGTTGATACAAAAAAAAAAAGGGCAATAATAATAATAATAATAGCAACAACAACAAGAACCAATGCATTAGAGAAAAAAACGATAGTAACGTAGCTTGTCGGATTACCCCAACACAGATACGGACCTATGCATATATATATATATGTATAAACAGTAGGGTGGAAGGAGAAGTAAACTGTTGTATGTAATATTCTCATCATATTTCCGCCTACTAAACGATGGCATTTATATTGATATATATAATCAGAAGCTACATTTCTGCCATGCACAATAAATTAAACAACTTGAGGAGTGGCCTGTTGGTTAATATCATCTATTGATGGATTTGAAACAATAAGACATTCTTCTGAACATCTTACAATAGTTAATTGTTGTTTCAAACGCCAATTTGAATAACATCTTGATAGTTGAATACATAAACTTAAACTAATATAAAGTAATGCAGCAATTACAAGAGGTGTAAAACCAAGAAATAAAGTTTTTTTCAATGATGTATTGTTATCATTATTTTCTTCTCGTATAGGATGATTCATCTTGTTCTAAGAAAAATAAAAGAAAAGATTTGTTTGTAAAAGAAATAAAGGAAAATATTGTTTTCGATCTTAATTTCTATCATATATTCTCGTTTTTAGTTTGTTTCGAAGAAAAAAAAAAAAAGAATAATGACAACAAAATAAGATTTATTCTCCGAATAAAGATATGAATATATGTGCGTGTCTTTGTTAGTTGTAATAATGGCATCACTACTCAATCATAAGATGAACGACGTAATTCTCTTCTAGTAATAGAATTTCTAGTAGGCTTTCTGCTTTTTTTTTTTTCATTTATTCATTCATAAATATTAAGTTCTTGTTATGTTGTTCTATAAGACATTGACGAGTGAGAAACAGAACATCTAACAAATAATCAAATATTACTGAGGATTCGATAAAATATGTTTTGCAATAATTGGTTATGAAGAGGTTCGAATAAATGACATTAGTTTCTATCTATAGATTTCAACGAGATCCCCCCAACAAAGAAAAGAAGATTTATATCAAAAATCTATTTGTCTAATATAATTTATATTTCAGGAAATTATGTCGATTCATTTCCGTTAATATATTTATTAATATGAATAAATGTATAAACAGAGGACAAAAAAAAAATATGCAATACTTGTAGAAATTCTATCTATTATTAATTAGAAAGAAAACAAATACTAATCTTAATTGTTTTTTTTTTTTTGTTTGTTTAGCGATTCTTCGTCCAACATCGAAAGATTATAGTGACATTGATCCGGATGAAGAAAATGGTGTGATTTCATGTATGATTGAGAATAATCAAGTTAATATTGATGTTAAAACGATTTCACCATTTAAATGTATTTTTGGTTCAGCTGGTAAATTACAAGAAGATCATCAAACAGCTATTATTGTTATTTATGGTTGTTGGTTACCTGATCGTCGTTTAAGAGAATATCGTTATATTATGGATCAATTGTTTTAGTTAGTGAAATTTTTTGTTATTAATTTTTGTTTATCTTTTTTTTTTTAGTTATATTTATCATAAATTAGAAAAATTAGTAACTAACGATTATGTACTTATTTATTTTCATGGAGCAACACCAAAACATCGAACACCAGAATTAAAAATTCTTCGTAAATATTATCAAATGATTAATTTTCGGTAATATAGAATGTATTTGTTTTTTCTTATATTCAATTGAATCGTTTTCTTCTTAACATATATATTCTTTGTTTTTTTTTTTGTAATTAGATTACGAAAAAATCTTCGTGCTATTTATGTTGTACATCCAACACGATGGTTACGTGCTGTTATTGCTCTTTCTCGACCATTCTTCAGGTAAAAAAAACAAAAGTTATGCTGTTTTCTAAATATTTAATAAATAAATATATATATTATTTATCTATAGCAATAAATTTTATCATAAAGTTCATTATTTATTTACAATTTCTGAACTTGAACGAGAATTTCCTCATAATCCTGTTCCAATTCCAATTATTATTGAACAGTAAGTTTTTATTTTTTTTTATTCTATTGATTAAAATAAAATTCTTTATATTGGAAATCATTTATTATGAAGAAATTTCTCTTTCTCTAGACATAATACATCAGTACTCTATATTGATCCTTAATAAGGAAAAGATATAAAGGTAGAATATTATTGTTTTGTAATTATTCAGAAAAATCAAATTTGGTGTTGTTTATTCTATTTTTTTTCTTATGTGTTTTGTTTCATTGGTGATAGTCATAATATTTTATTTTAGATACGATAAAACTTCTCGTACACAATAGAAACATGAATATAAATATTCTTAAATTTTGTAGAGAAAAAAAAAACACAACGAAATCATGTAACTTATTTGTTGCATTAAATAACAGCAATCTTAGCTTGTTTTCTTTTTTGTTTTAATTTTAAATCTTGATATTTTTTCTTACTAATTAAGAACACTTGTTAACAAATTCAATGTTCTATTAATAAAAATATACAGTTTCAATATCTTACAAGGAAAGTTCACTAACTGATGACAAGTCACTTTTCAGTCGAGACTACAGCCATTATGTAGATCCAAATGACCTAGGAATAGTCTGTGATCCTACAAGGAAACTAGCCGAGTTGATTTCCGTCATTTGAGCGCATAGTTTCAGTCGGAAAGAACGTTCCTTTGTCGAGATATTGAATTTCCAAAAAAATGATCGTTTGCCATAAAAATTGAGTTTACTTGAAAATTCAATATCTCGACAAAGGAACGACGTTCTTTTCTGGTGAGACTTTCAAAATATTCTAGTAGTCATTCAATCTATTTATGGAACGAAATTTCAGTTCCAAATACCGTTATTTGATTTTTCTGTAAATACCAAAAGCTGGATCAAGAATTCAGTAAAATAGTCACAACTCAGCTCCAGAAACCTATGGACACAAACTCTTTCAGAATTTTTCTAGTTTTATTGCGACCTCCATATGAATCCAATATAAGCTCAAATAACGGGTATGAATTTGGGTAGTTCTCTCGTAAACTTATTACTACAGAGATACTAAATTTCTTTGCGGTATTTTTTTTAATGAACACTGTGATCATCTCAGACAAACTGATTTTTGAATTTCGACTTGAACTTGTACATAGAGATAGCTTTTAACAAGAATAGTTTCTTGTGACAATTTCAGATCTTTTAATTTACTTCTATTCTGAAATAAGAAGACCAAATCTACTAATGTAAAACATACGCCATTACCATAACTGTATCTTAGGATAGGAACAAGGAAAAGATCTGAAAATTTCACAAAAAATATGTTGTATTAACTCAAAAGTAATTTATCAGTTGGAGAACTTCCTTCGTTAGTAAATTTCAATTATAATCAGAAAAAAAAGGATGAAATTATTTTATCGATTTATTAATATTAAGAAAATTTTTTTCTTCGTAATCTTTATTCAGATTTGATATACGACATTCGAGAGTCAGATTTTTTCGATTTTGTTGTTAATATCAGTATGTAAGTATAAAGTTGAAGTGTTGAGAAATATAAAAATACATGCATGCATATTCCATCCTATTCAATACTAAAAATGCTTGTCAACTTTTTCTTTTATTTTTGACTTTGCAGTGTTATTTCTTTTATTTTTTCTTATGCTTCTTTTCTTGTTTTTATTAATATTCCATAAATTGTTATTGAATTCTTTTTATAGAACGGATTGGCTATATTCTCAAAAATATGATCGTCAAAATGCAAGTATAAAACGTTCTATTGAACGATCAACATCACAACAATTTGGTGGACATGGACACGAATCAGCTGCTTAATAACATCTATACCGGTCTTCTAGTTCTTGCTCTTGTTTTTCTTCCTCTTCTTATATTTTTTTTCCTGCTATATTTTAATTTTGTTGTGCAATAATGTGGTACTTCGTTTTTGTTTTTGTTTTTGTTTTTGTTTTCATTTCGTATCGATTCGCAGTGACAATTTATATTGTATACGTCTCTAGCCAACGGAAAGATTTGCAGCAATCAAATTGTTTATTACACTTTAACGAAAGAAAAAAAGATGCAAAACCAAATTTTAACAATTAGAAATCAGAGAGTGTGCGATTGTTTTTTTGTTCTAACTATGTGTGTTACTTGTTTCTTTTTTTCTTAATTGATATATTTTGAAATATATACATATAGTTCGGCATTATTTCCATATATCTAATACTGTGTCAATCGATTCTTTAAGTCGATATATATATTCCCCTGATCAAAATAAACTAAACACATTGTTTTGATGCTTTTCTCCTCTTTACAATTGTCATTGAGCCCCTCATTTTTATAACACAGATACATCTTTGATTACTTAACCTTTTCCGAAAATTGCAGCCTTAGAGAATGAGAATCCGTGGGGAAAAATGTAATTATATCTCATGTACTCATGTAGTCGTGAAATGAAAATCTGTTGTTTTCTTACTGAATTTAGTTTTTTTCTGTCCTGTAATACCAACTTTTGCCGCATACATTAGCTTTTTCCGGTCTCATTCTCACTATTACGAGCTTTTTGAGATAAATCTCTTCACAAAACGCTTTGAAAAAGTGCGAAGAAGCGAATATGATCATCAAAGGCTATTGTTATTGGAAACAGGAAAAAGGAAAAATTTAGCAAGAAAACAACAGATTTGCGTTTCATGGCCACATGAATACATGAGATATAATTATGTTTTTTTCAACGGATTCTCATCCTATAAGGCTGTAATTTTCCGCAAAAGTTAAGTAATCAAAGATATATCTGTGTTATAAAAATGAGACCCAACGACAATTGTAGAAAGAAGAAAAACATCAAAATAAGGTGTTTAATTTATTTTGACCAGGGGAACATATGTATTTTAATCATGATTGACACATTTTTGGTACTCGAAATATCAACAACATAATCATTAATATGACAGATTTTATAATTAAATTTTCCTATATGCGGAAAATAATTATACATATGTATAGATTTATCCATTGAAGCTGATTGACGATAATCCGAAATAACAGCATATATCCTCTCTGGTAAAAATAAACGGAATTAAATTTGACATAGTACCAGATGTTGCTATTAAATATAACATATGTAATAGTTGATCAAATGGAATTCATTCTCAATCAATTAGATCTAATTGAATATTTGTATATAATATTTGACGTTAGCTATATTTTTTAGTTGCTTGACAAGGTTTTCTTCGTAATTCTAATATATCAAAACTATGATAATGTAATATACGATTACGATATTCATAAAATGTTTGTTCTTTACCATGATTAAATATTTCCATAGTCACTAAAAAAATTGGTGTTACAACACAAACAGCTAACATTCGAAAAGAAATACTAATCAAATGAGAATTCATTCATGTACATTGTGTTAAATTAACAAGCTTTGAGACTATTACTCGTATAAGAGAATGATACATTTTTGATAAAATATACTCTCATTAGATGGAAAATTTTTGTATTCAATTAATAACAACAGCATTATGATTATATACACCCATATTAGAGCCCTATAGAGTCAGAATTGTTCACTCAGAAAATTTTCATTCCTGCAGTTCCGACTCCAGCTCTGGGTATGAATAAAAACAAGACATTCATACCGCACACTCACATCCTACAATTGTTCTATAAATGCTCATTAGGCTTATACTTCGACAAGTCAGACAATTTTTTCATGCAATACACCAACAGACAAAGTCTCAAAAGTTGAAAAAAAAATGAGTTATTTAAAACATCATAGCTATTTTCTTTTAGCTGTTGATACCTCTATCTTTTGGCATATTGCACAAAAATCATTCTTCGACTTTTTGAAGTTTAATTATGATAGACACTTATGAGATGAATTAAGACTATTTTCTTGAGAGTAGGTCAGTTGTACTGAAAAGTCAATATGGACTACATTTATTATAGAAAGATGTAGGTCGGATGATTTCAGATGATAATCTTTCGAATGCATATAAATACTCAAACGTTTAAATTTTGAAGAAGGTCTCTTTTACTTGAGTAATGTTAGGTGTTCTCATGAAGGTTCTCTTAAGAATTCAATCTGTGAATATCTATTCCATCTATGTATCATCTTTTCTATTCGGATTATTTTCATTTCTTTTATTATCAATATTTCAATTATCAGAAAGACTATATACGTGCAGCTAGAGCATACGACGAAAACAATCAAGACACTAGAACTGTGATAAAGTACATGCGATGATCATTAAAAATGCCATATCATGAGAAACTTGTCATCGAAAAAATTTTATGCGTTCGATTACATTGAAATGTTTGAAACGCAATTCAATTATAATACATGATCCTGTTGACTATTGAATGATTTATTAACTCATTCAAAATTTTGCGTATACGACATCCAGATAACATCCGTCTTTAAGCATTTTTTTCATTTTCTCGAGTACTAATTTTCTATCGAAAAAAATTTCAAGTCAAAAGACTACTGATGACATATTTTTATCAGTTACTTATAAGCGTCAGTAAGATTTCTGCAAAACTTTGAACCTTTAGTTTTTCTCTTGACAATACAATTCATACATGAATAGTGTACATTAGCTGAAGCGGCTATTTTCTTTTTTAAATAGTAGAAACATCCAATCGAATTATACTAGTCGAAATATTTTGTTTTATATTTTGCTCTAAGAAAATAATACAAAGAAAAAATGCATAATTATCCAGTATTTGATAACTATATAGAAAATATTAGGTTATACTTTTTTGTGACCATTCATTCCTAGGCTTTAGCAATCGGAGTCTAAGATCAGAGACTAATGAGTATGTTTTCATTATCAAGCGAGGGTGAGACTGACGGTAATTGGGTACGCTTTCAAAACAACTGAGAATAACAAGCTTCAAGCTCCTTTTCTAGAGTTCCTAGACAATGGGAAAAGGCGCTGAATGGCATTTAACAATAAGATTTAGACCGTTGTAGAACATTCCAAGACCTTCCTCGAAATTTGAGTACCTGGAATACGTTTGTGAATGTTCTAAATAATACAGTGTTTTTAATTTTACGCAGATAAAAATTTATATTCAAGATGTCAAGGATGATGGATAGTGATACACCGATTTGCTATAGTCGTCATATCAATATCATTGTTTCTGAGCTTATCGAAATATATCATAGGGTGCTGAGACGTGCTGTAAATATCATAGTTATGTACAATAGGCTTATCTACCAATTACATGAATGTTTAGAATAATAATAATGTTAAATTAAGAAAAACAGAATATTCAAACGACAAGTAACGAGAGAATATCAGCAAGGCAAACAAAACATAGAGCGCCAATTAAAAAAAATTCTTTTGGAAATGTAGAAATAAATAAGACAGATCATTTCTCTGGTGATCAATTACCTTGGGAAAACTTCTATAGTCGCCTAGAGAGTTTTTTACTTCACATAATTTGTATTAGTATAACGAAGCTAAACAACGCATGTGAGTTTCACATTTCAGTCTCAAAGACGCTGCGCAGAAAAGGTCTTTTTTATTTGAAAAAAATCTTCTTACATTTCTCCTTTTGTTATTCTCATTGAACAGTTTAATTAGATTTTCTTTTTCTTTATCGAATTATTACATAACATAGATATAAATTTATTAATCGTATTAATAATAGAACTTAGAAAAAAATATATATATATAATTATTCATAAAAAAAAAAGATTCGTTAGTTAATATACATTATTAAGATTAAACACGTGAGAAAAATGATCGTTTTGTTTTTGATAATTCATCTTTAACTTCTGTATACCTATTTGGACTAAATTTAAAATAAACTATTGTTGAAATAACAATAATAATTATTAATACAATAGGTATAACTACACCAGCAATCCATATTGGCTAAATAAATTTAAAATAAACAAAAGATAATTTCAATAATTAAAAAATATTTATTAAATAAACTTACACTTGATGATCTTTCAACAAATACAAATACACCAGCTGTATCTGATCGAAATTTAAGCATACGATTGTTTGTATCAAATGTAGTGGGTAATTTTAAATAGACACCATTTCGAGGTTCAAATTGAAGAACATCAATATTTTTTTCATTGTCATTAAATTCTTTTAATGGAATTTCAAATTCAATATTAGAAGAAAATCGATGTTCATGTGGTTCAATAACATAGACATTATCAAAAAGTGTTTCTTTAGCCTATAAAAGAACATTTGAAAAGGAACAAAATTTGAAAAAAAAAACAAAAAAAAATTGTTTTCTACATACAACTATATTTTGTCCATTTTTTGGAAGAATTTTGGAAAGTTGATCACGAGAAAATTGAGAAAATTTTACTGATATTGTTTTATTAACACAGTTCGCTGGAAACGTTAAAATAGCATTTCTAAATAAAAGTTTTTTTTTATCAAAAAAGTTTTCTTAAGAAAAAATAACGGATATATCGAAATAAATGTTTTTCTATGTATTCATTTAGTATCTGGCTCAATCTTCATTGTATAGACTTGAGGTTTTTATCGAAAAGATTCATAGGAAAAGAACCGTAAGAAGATCAAAAACAGCTGATTTCAAAATATATTAAAAGCTGTTAGCGCAATCTCTGCAGAATTAAAATGTGAAACACAGTGTAGTTGTTGATGTTAATCACAGAGAAATTGTTTCATTCTATCTATTTTTGGACACATTTCTTCATCCTCCTTTTACTTAATCCTCTAGAAATGAAATCAGATAGTAATTCATATAGTATAACGAGACATTATTGAAATACGGTCTGTGATCGTATATGAGCAGCGTTCGTCGAGGTTCAAGTTCTACACTACTTTTAGATCGTG